TTTTTTCCATAATTTTTTGGGGGGTGGGTGGGTTTCAGATTAAGGTTTTATTGATAGCAACAGAATGTCATTCCCTTATGCGTATACACTGTCATAACAAAACTTCACTTAAAAGCATAATATCTCAAAAGAGAACAACTGGCCATTTACATAAGTTGGAATTACGTACATGCTACAAAATGTACGAAAACATGAAGTACGCGATGTTGCACGAAAAAGCTGTCACTTCGGAAGCAGTTTATTTCCTTCTTGATGTCTGCATAGGTGACAGTGATATTATAGTCCATGCTCGTTCTCTTCTTTCCATGATCTCGTTTCTCAGTTGACGCTTGTATATACATTTCAGGTCGGCGTGTCCTATGTTTAAGTTGCTATGCAAATCAAACTATTAAAGTCAGCTATCATTTCTTTGCGTTATCCTTGAGATTGAGATTTAAAGAGCTGTGCTTGTGGTATGTGGTTGATAGAAAGGTGATTTCAGATTGGAGAGAGTTGCATGTCTTTTCCTATAGTTGCAAATCTCCATTCTTATCCTAGAGTTGACTATCGAGATCTCAAAGTTGATTCTTTTTCAGATATATTGTTAAATTGCTATCAAACATAAAAGAAACTTGCATATTTGAGGAGTTTCTTAAAATGGAATAATTTTGGTGTCAATGGTGATATCCCATTCCAAATTACTGGTTTTTGATGTACAACCCTAAGATCAGTTCTCTGGCCCCTGAATCCTCGCCTTCTTTCAGACCTCTTCTTTTCACCACATTGTTATATCCTTGAATGCTCTGAAACTTCATGTTGTTTCTAGATCGTATTCACTTCAATTAATGATACATTTTTTCAATTTGGTGGACTGTCTTCTAGGTTTCTTGCTCATGCAAAAGTTGAATCTTTGAAATCAAAGGAGGCAGCTGAACAAAGGATGCTTAAAAAGAGAAGCTGGTTTTCTTTTAGATGGTTTGTCATAAACTATCCATTGATCTGTCTCAAACAATTTTATATTTTATCTTTTATTTTTCTGAAATTCCTTATTTGTTGCTCTTATCTTAGCTATCTTTGTCACATTTTAGATTTTTGTCCTGTTTTTCCTTGTTACCTTAGGAGTACAGCTACTGCAGATGTGTCTGCAGGGGATACTTCTGAAGAAGCTAATACACTGGAGGACCAATTGACCCGGGAGGAATGGCAGGCGATCAATAAACTACTAAGTTACCAGCCAGATGAGGAACTGGTACTGCAGTATGGAAAAGAGAATATGATCCAGTATTTGTTAGATGTTTCTATCAGTAGGGCAGCTGCACGGATAATTGATATAGATCACACAGAGATTGTTTGCGGTAGATTTGAAAATCTTTGTGTGTCTACAAAATTAAAGCATCGAAACTCCCACTGCGACGTGACGCTGAAATTTTATGGATTATCTGCTCCTGAGGGTTCACTTGCCCAGGTGTGTGCTTATTTGAATGTTATCTTTCTGAATGGTCATAATCAACTTTATCTGTGAAACTATATTACACTGCATAAGGTGTCTCTGTATAGCCTTTTCGTTTAAGACGTGATGTAATTAGAATATTTCAGTTGATAATATCTGGAGATAGTTGCTATATCAAGTTCCTTTTCTGTTCCTCTTTTCGTGGATTTTTCTCTTTATTATTATTTTTAATGTCAGATGATCCTATAATTGGTGTTACGAAGTTTTGTAAAAAGATGTTAACCTTTTGCATATAGAATCATGTTTTTTTTGGTAATGGTGATGTCTGGCGCACTCCTTGATTATTCCACCGATTACCTACTATCTTCGACCAGCACATGTATTGGGTAACATTGTCCACTAAGGCTTGGACAAATAGGAAGAATTCATCTATTGTCTTTGTCGCTGCTGGGATCTGAACCATGGTCTCCCATGATCTGTGCCAGCTTGAGCAGTAGGCCATACTTGGGTGCTAGTATCATGGCTTGACTGAGCATGAATCTGCACGTGTACATTTTTCTATGGTGTGTGTTGTTTGATCTAAAATGGTTTAGGGTTAGTCTCTTGGTTGAAATATAAACATGGAATATATTCTTGTTTTTGGTTATGCATTTTCTTGTTTTAGGTATTCAGATAGGCATATTGGAAAGGGAGAAATAGATAGTCAATTCGATTGAAATGAAATTCATTTCTTTTCATTTCCTAAATCTGTGAACCCCAGATGAGTTGCTGTAATCTGTGTTTGTGCTATAAACTTAACTATCATTAGTCGTTGCGACGTCCCATCTAAGCACACCCGAACCCTAATACAATGAAATGAATATAGACGATCCATATAGCTAACACCAACTAATTCTGAATGGATATGTAACTGTTGATGTATTTGTTTTTTGCTATACATATGGGCATAGTTGATTGATTAGGGGAAGTATTTCTGTGCAGAGTGTCATTAGCGAGCAGAAGGTGAATGCTCTGCAAGCTAGTTTCATACAAGCACCTTCTGGGGAAAATGTCGACTGGCGTCTATCTGCAAGAATCTCGTCTTGTGATGTTACAGTATGTGGTTATGATTTCCTTTCCTGCCTGTTTGTTCAGATCATCAGATGCATGTGAAAGTATCTGTTTGTTTAGTATTAACTTTATCGAGAAATTTTGCAAGTTGACTGATTTTGAAATGTTGGTGTATATGACCCTGTTTCTTTTGTAGTCCATTCCAAATAGAATGTCTCTTTTCTAAATTTGGAAATAATTTTACTTAAACTTCCCCATTTTACGCTTTTAGTTGGAATGTTTTTTGTGACTTGTGATCAGGATTTTGTTTGATTGGATGTGAGTTAAAGGAGCATGAATGTTGTAGGATTCCTGCTTGGGTTGTCTTTCTATAACATACTATATAATTCAGAAGCTTGACGGTTTTCCTCCTAATGAACTCTCTAAAAGGGCAGCCCAGTGCACAAGGCATCCCACGTTCGTGCAGGATCTGGGGAAGGATTGCACCCCAAGGGGTGTGACGTAGACAGCCTAACCTAATGCAACCATTAGTGGCTGCTTCCACTGCTCGAACCCGTGACCTATAGGTCACACAGAGACAACTTTACCGTTGACCCCCATGCACATGAAATACCAACTAGCGTATATATATTTTTCTCAAGTTCTCCGGCTTTATGGTAGCTTCACAAGCTGTTGGCCAGGCAAAGAAGCCATTTTGGTTGGTGTTTTTGGACTCAGCACTGAGAGGTAAGAGATGTTTGTCACCTCCCTTCATAGTAATCTCGGATGGATGATCATTCAGATCAATCTTTCTCCCTGTCATCTTGAATTGTATTTGTTCATGATTGATATTCTTTACTTGTTGAGGAACCCAAGTAGCTCTGAAATTCTTCCATCTCTCAAACCTGCAAATTTCTTCAGAATTTTGAAGTCCCACAGAGTTCCTCCTTCCTGCTCCCTGCATACGACAGGGAATGCATTGCATAAGGAGGCATCTCCGCATAACCTCTTTCTCCAAAGGCCGACTCTAGTATCATCTCCCACTGTAAACTAGACATGTCTCTGAAAAGTAACCCACATCTTAATGAAGCTTCTCCACAAGGCTCTACCCCATATGGTCCAGGTATTTGAAAGTTTCCTCCAACCTCTTTGATACGCCCAAACATGTCGATGGTGACCATTCTCCATAAAGCCTTGTATGTCCTCCAACCCAAATCTCCAAATCCATTTGTTCAACAGGGCACTATTGAAAACCGTAATATCTATGACCCACAAGCCCTTTATGGGTGATTTTGCCACATCCAGTTTATGAGATGCTATTTCTTCACCTCCTCTTTTATCCCATAGAGGTTCTGGTATTTTCTTCCACATTAGTAGGTAGCATAAATAGCATAAGGAGTCGGTAAAGATGCTGGATAATGTACTCTTCATAATATTTCTTTTCCCCCTTTAGATAAATCTCTTTTATCGTTCTGCTAGTTTTTCCTCACCCTTTCAATTGCTGGTTTGTGTACTGCAGAATCTTTAAGGCTCTCAGCCAACTCTTATTCTAAGTAAGTTGTAGGAAGTAATCCTAGTTACACCTGTGGATCTCAATTATCTGTTCTATGTTCTCCACCTCATATGTTGTATAATCTCATGCTTCTTTAAAGTCAAAACCGTAGTAGCATGTATCTCAATTACTACCACCTTGGCATTACATTGGGCTAGTTTCTTCATTTTATACGGAACCTCTTTCTGAAAATTGATACTATTGGTGTTTAAATTGTAAACCTCGTGAAGCTATGGCTCTTAAGTCGTTGTGCAAGTGATGAAGGAATCTTAACATATTAAAAGACAGAGGGATCTTGTGTATTCTTTGGATATGGGTGGTATTAGCCTTTAGGTGCTTTTTTTGATAAAGTAAGAGATTGTATTAATAAGGCATCCAGAAGATGCAAATTACAAAAGATGACAAAAGTGTACACTGAGTTAGCTCCTGTACAATGTTTAAGCTAAGATCAAGGAACTAACAAAATCCAAAAAATTATCCACACTATTAACAGGAGTATGGAAGTTCCAACTAAACAGGCTAACTAAACAGATGGCCTTTAAAGAGTGTAATGGAGTTGATATTCCATCAAAACATCTGCGGTTCCTTTCGTTCCATAAGCACCAGAGAATTGTAGCTGGGATCATTCTCCAGATCCTCTTGATGGCTTTATCAACTCTCCAAAAAGTCCAGCTAACATATGCATCTTTGATGTGGGAAGGCATCACCCATGCTAGGCCAAAAATAGAGTAGGAAAACTTCCAAATGTCACCTGCTATTGGCTATGAAGAAACAAATGGTTGACACTCTCTGAATTTTGCTGGCATAGATAGCATCTGTTGGCAAGTACAATACCTCTTCTTCTTAGGTTATCTTGTGTTAAGCAAGCTTCTCTGAGTGCTAACCAGGTGAAGCAAGATACTTTGAGTGGTTGTCTGTTTCTCCAGACGTGCTTCCAAGGCCAGTCCTCAAGCATCCCATTCTGTGAACATAGGAGGTTATAGCTAGCCTTGACTGTGTACTTTCCTCCTGTTGAGTTGCCCCAAATGAGTCTGTCAGGTTGATGCTCTTCAATTTCGCATTCTTCCAATGTGGACAATAGCATAAGCATATCATTAATTTCCCAATCTTGAAGGTTTCTTCTGAATAGAGGACTCCATGTGTTCCCCTCCCTGTTATGAGCAACCAATGAATTCTGTCGATTAGCTATCTGATACAACCCAGGATATGATTCTCTCAGTGTTGTGTTACCAATCCATCTGTCCTCCCAGAATTTTACACGAGAGCCATTGCCAACTCTATATGTTATTTCCTGGGTAAAGTCAGTATGAAGAGACCTGGTATGTTTCCATGGTCCCACCCCATGTGGGGCATTGTTTTCTTTGGTGCGCCACTGGTTTTGAGCTCCATGCTTTGCCGTAATGACCTCCTTCCAATAAGCTGGTTCAGGTTGCCCATACCTCCATAGCCACTTCATTAACATGCTTTTGTTATGGAGCTTTAGGTTCCTAAGTCCCATTCCCCCATTAGATTTAGGCCGAGTAACTTTAACCCATTTTACCAAGGGGAATTTGTGAGTTGTGCTGTTCCCCTCCCACAGAAACCTCCTTCTCAATCTGTCTAGCTGTTTCAGAACTGGGCTTGGCATAGGGTATAGGGACATATAGTAAGTAGGGATGCTGTCAAGAACACTGCTAATTAAAGTGAGTCTGCCACCCATTGAGAGATACTGCATTTGCCAAGTTGCGAGTCTCTTTTCCACTTTTTCTACCACATCACTCCATACTCCGATTGATTTGTATTTGGCACGCAAAGGTAAACCTAGGTATGTAGTGGGGAGGGATCCTATTTTACAACACAAGATCTCTGCCAATTCTTCTATGTTGGAGACTTCATTGACTGGGTATATGGTGCTTTTCAGCATGTTGATGTGTAATCCAGAGATGACTTCAAAGATGAGCAAGGTGAGGTTGAGATGGGATACTTCTAAAAATTCTTCTATTAGTATTAGTGAAAGCTCAATCCCAACTCTCTCACTAAGACCGGATCTTGCAAACAGTGTTCTTCCTAAAAAGCCAGAGCGGATACCTTTCTTCTCTCTGCTCCACAAAAGATCAGTGTATCATCTGCGTATAACAAGTGGGAGACAGTGATTGAGTTAGCTGGATTTCTGCCCACTTGAAACCCCTGTATCCAATTCATTTCCTTGGCTTTGACTAGCATTTGTGTAAGGCCCTCCATGGCTAGTAAAAAGAGGAATGGAGAGAGAGGATCTCCTTGTCTGAGGCCCTTTTGAGGAGAGAAAAAACCTACTGGGCTTCTGTTCACCAGCACAGAGTACTTCACTGTAGAAATGTTGAAGTTGATCCACCTAATCCATCTATCACCAAAGCCCATCATCTTCAGCATGTTGAAAAGGTATGACCAGTTTAATTGATCAAAAGCCTTCTCAATATCGAGTTTGCACAATAAGCCAGTTTCCCCATTTTTGATTCTCCGGTCCAAAACTTCGTTTGCAATCAAGGAAGCATCTGTGATTTGCCTGTTTTTGATGAAGGCACTTTGTTGACCAGAGACCAGCTTCCCAATAACTCTTTTCATTATATCAGCAAGGATCTTCGCCACCAATTTATATACACTGCCTATTAGACTGATTGATCTGAAGTCCTTTAGCTCCATGGCACCTTTCTTCTTTGGGATGAGTGCTAAGAATGAAGCATTACAGGATCCAACCATATGACCATGTTGGTGGAAATGGTTAAGGGCTCCCGTGAAGTCTGACTTGAGAACCTCCCAGCATTTTTTAAAAAATGCCATGGTGAAACCATCAGGGCCTGGAGCTTTGTCTGGGGCACAGGAGTTTAAGACTGCACGGACCTCTGATTCCTCAAAAGGAGATTCCAGTTCCTCTCTGTCATTTGAGGTTAGTTTGTGTAACCCTGCAAATTCTACTGAAGGCCTCCATGTTTCCTTCTCTATGTACAAATTCTGATAGTAGTTCAGAATTTCCTCCTTGATTAATCCTTTATCTTCAATTATCACCTCTCCCACTTTGAGCCTATCAATACAGTTGTCCCTTCTTTTGAGTTTGCCATTTTCTGAAAGTACTTTGTGTTCCTGTCTCCTTCCTTCAGCCATAGACACCTGGACGTTTGCCTCCAGGAGATTTCCTCAGCAACTGCCAACTGTTCAAGTTCCACTTTCAAGTTGAAAGCTTTCGTCTTTTCCTCTGGTATTTGCACTCTTTGTTCTGTTGTTTGCTCTAGTGATTGCAAATCAGCAAGAGCCTTGTTTCTTTTGGTTTCCATTTTACCGAAGACTTCTTTGTTCCATCTAGTAAGGTCCTTCTTTACGTTCCTTAGTTTCTGGATAAGGATGAAGTCTGGGCTGCCAGTAACTGAGTAAGATTGCCACCACCATCCCTTTATCATGTCCAAAAACCCCTCTGATTTGAGCCACATATTCTCGAACTTGAAATAAGAAGGTGTAGTTTCCCAGTCTCCACTCTCCAAAAGGATTGGTTTATAATCTGAAA